TTAGACCACTGAGCCATCTCACCAGCCCCATTTTTACAATTTTTAAATACTTAGGAATGTAGAGATCTAAATCAACTCACTTATGTGCATAAAGGACAAAAATTAAATTGTGCCATTACATTTTGAAAGCACTTAAACAAATGAAGGAGGAGAATTCAGCTAGCAAGTGCTATGAGGAGATTGGTAGAACACTGTCAGGCATGGAACAATTCCAATTGTGGGATGAATGGCAAGAAAAAAAGCTGAGGTGAACCATATTACTAAGGTAATGAGGGTATAAAGTCCTAATGAGTTTGTAGCATGCAGCTTGCTATCACCATTCTGAGTGAAGTCACCTGGCTCAGTCTTGCAAAATCAGCTAGAGTACACACTTTGCAACCAAATATAAATGTCTGGATATTGAATATAAATACAGGAATGGTTCTCAGTTATCAAAATTTATAACTGTCATTTACAATGAATTGTATCTACTGTATATATCAGAAGAAATTCACTGGGATTTTCACAAATGTTTTCTCCATGATTTGGAAGCAAACCAAAGCAAATAAGGTGACACTGACTACTTTTCCTGAACAATGTTTATTGACGCCACTTGAGAAACTTTTTTCATTAGTTTCATTATAGGAAGTATTTGTCATGGGTCTTCAGACATACATGTATTAATGCAAAAAAAGATGCTCAAAAGAAATCAAGGCTGGAAAAATATTAATCGTAAAATTATTTTTAATAACAAAAATTAACTTTTTCATGTACCTGTAACAAAAATGTTACTAATGGCTACACAAGGTCAAATAAATTGCTCTTCAGTTTTTCCACTGAAGCTATTCTTTGCCAATGTTACCTACTTCAGAGCCAAATTCAAAATAAAATTATGAACAATTTCAAATGTTTGAGAAGTGATTTTGAAATCCAAGATAATCTTTAGACACATACATAGTGAAACAAAGTATGCATGCGTCTAGAGTGAGACTACCTCTTATCTTTTATGAATGACTTTAAGAAGGTATCAAATCTTCTGTACCTCTACGTTTTTATCTTGAAAATGGGGATTCTATCCATGCCTATTGCCAAGGATATCATGAGAATTATAAGAGATAAATTATATAAAATATTTAGAGAACTGTCTGCACATTATCATAATTACATATTTCACTTAGGTACCTAATGTTTCAAGAGATACTTTTCTAGTCAAAAGTAACCTTTTGGAGCTGGATGTGATGGTGCATGCCTGCAATACCAGCACCTGGGAAACGGAGATAGGAGGATCACAGTGAGTTCAAGACTAGCCTGGGCTACAAAGTGAGTTCAAAGCCAGCCTGAACTGCATAGAGAGACCCTGTCTGAAAAAGATGAAAGAAAAAAAAAACTAACCTTTTGTTAGGCCAAATCCAGAACCTTCTCATTATAATTAATTACTAACACATCTTCCATGGGTTTTGCCAAAAAATGTGTATTTTCATTAACATTATAATGCCATAAAAACAAGTAATTCTTACCACTTGCAAGTTAAATTATTTCCTTCAAAACAGTAATGGGGGTCACCCTTCCTTCTCCCTATGGATATTTGGTGATATCTAGAGGTTTGGTTCAGAATGAGGAGCAGCAGATGATGTGACTTGGATCTAGTGGGAACAGCGGTGCTCCTGAACATGGACGATGTGCTCCTCCACGTCAATTGCTTCTCTGACTCAAAAGTCAGTAGTGCTGAAGTTGAGAAACTATTTTAGAGCCCTGCTCTGGACTAAGAATAAATGCTAAAAATTACAAACAAAGGAGAGTATAAAATTTATAATATAAGAAGTATTTATTCTCCTTGGCAAAAACTGCTGAAACTTCCCAGGTTGCTCAATACACAC